CTGCGCTCGCAGGGTCCGGCCGGTCGTGGGGGGCTCCCCGTGCCCGGGCGGGTCCCGCTGCCCGGCCGCCAACGCCCCCGAAACTTGCCGGGGGCGGCGGAGCCGGGCGCGGGATGCGCTCGGGGCGCCGCTGCTGCGGGTGCGCGCTCACACGGCTCTGGCAGCTCCGCTCGGCTTCCCCTTAAAATAGTCTAATTAAAATAATAATAATTTTTTAAAAACCCAGATGTGCTGCGGGGGAAGCGTGCCCCGGAACCCCCTTTTAATCACGCTACTCTGGAAAAGCAGAGCACGAAATGCGGTGTAAAGCCCTGCCCGGAGCCCCCGAGCCCGTCCTGCAGAAGTTGGTCTGTTTGTGGTGACACCTTTTTGCATTGTTCTATCCAAAAGGTTCTGATGATGTTTCGAAGCAGAGTTTTTCTTTTTTTTCTTCTTCTTTTTTTTTTTTTATGCTAAGGTTGACACACATCTTACAACATCGTGTCTTTGATGAGCACACACGGTGTTAATTGAGGTTGCCATGGGAGGCATGCACGTAGTATAAATAAGCTGCCTTCTTGCCATGTGATTTCGCTTTTGTATTCCTCAGGCCTCCTTTTTGTATTCTCTGGTTTTGCATATTGTCATATGGTGCATTAAAGATAAAAATATCTGCTGTCTCAGGGTGTAATTTCCCTAGCTGGAACTGTAAGTGCATATGGAGCAGTGGGGAAAGGATTTAGCAAACCGTAGGAGAAGGAAATATGTGTGTGCCTGTGTAATAAGTATTCGCCATAATATGGGCAGTTATATTGAAAAAGTCCCTTTTTACTACATAAAATAGCAAAACAGTACTTTCTGGGGTGGAACATCACTGGGTTGACATCTCGTGGCCTTATTTTGCCTTTGGATATTGATGCTAATTAGTGAAAAAAAAAAACTACTATAGTGCATCCAGCCCTGGTCTGCCTCCCAAAATGAAATGTTTAGAGAAAAAAAAACCTTTTAAGTACTTTTTAAAAATTTCTCTACAGTTCTTATCACTCATTTATTGTGTTCCAGATAAAAAGATGAAAGCCTCGGTCATGCTTTGCAGCAAATTTCATGTAACACGCGAGGGGAACTGAAGCAGAAACCAAAGCCAAGGCAAAGCAGCATCTGACCTTGTCACTGGGGGGCAGAAAACAGCCGCTGGTTCCACTGGTGCTTCAATCAAGCTCCCTGGGCAATGTGGAATTGCAGAGAGCTCACAGAGTGCAAGTTCCTTCCAGGTCCGTGGGGTGAATAAAAATTGTTAACTCTTGGCTTGATTTGTCATCCTTTGGGGGAAAAAAAGGTATGTCAGACTGGCCTTTATACAGTTAGACCAAGGACAGCTGGAGGTGGGTTGCTCCAGAGATGAGAGTGACTGAGGCCAGCAAAGCCAAGGAGAAGCCTGTTCAACTCCACATCTACCCGGGATTCCTTGGAGAGGTGATAAAGTGAGTAATAAGGCGAAGTGGGAGTTCTAAAGTGGATGCGACAGCTCCAGCAGAACTTCTTCTCACTGCCACATTGCTCGTTACAAAGCAGCTAACGTTTTTTGGAAATCTATTTGAGGAAAAAATGCACTTTGAGCATCTCTGCAGTTCTTGTATCTGAAGCATTGATCAGGAAAATCGGCAGCACAACACCAACAAAGGGGAAGAGAATATGGTGAAGGCAGCCAAGGAAATTCAAATGGAGAACCCAAGAGAGGCAGAGAGTCCCAGCACAGGGGCCACATGTTCCCCACCAGAGGAACAAGCAAAAAAACCTTCCATGCTCTGTTTTAAGAAGCGGAAGAAGTCCTGTAAGAAGGGGCTGACTGTGAAGGATGAGTGTGAAGGACCCTCAGAGGAGAAAAGCCAATGTGTCAGCACTGACCAAGAGGAGGGAAAAGCTTCCAATCCATCACAATCCTCCAAAGGAACCTGGGCAGCCATCAAAAGCCTTGCCAGGCCTCGGAAAAGGCAGAAGTCCTCCTCACGGAAGAAGGTGTCTGATTCCCAAGTGCAGCTGGAGGTGGATGCCGAGGAGAGCTGTGCACAAGACCTCCCGAAGAAACGGGTGAGCTCTGGGGTGAAGATGCCCTGTGTGAGGTTCTCCAGAGGCAAGAAAAAATCCAGCCCCTCAGAAGCAGTGGAGGAGTCAGAGGGCAGTGTTCAAGCAAATGAAGTGATGGGTATTGTGAATAAGGCTAGTGAGGAGCCAGAGGATTTGGCCCCAATGGACAAATCTGAATCCTTCAGCCCAGTCTCTGCACAGGAGGAGCAGGATACCGTGAAGCAGGACCAGAATACAGTGAAGCAGGACCAGGATACAGTGAAAGAGGACCACGATACAGCAAAGGAAAGTGACACCTCTGTTGGGAAGAGTGAGCCCTTGACAGAGCCCACAGGTGATGCAGAGGAATATTCAGAGTGCACTGTTCAGCTGGAGATAACTGATTCAGAGACAGCTGATGAAACAGCCCAGGACAAACTGCAGGAAGGGAGCCTACCCCAAACCACTGACAATGTGGAGGGCGGGGAAGTTGCTCCCGAAACACCTGAAATCACAGAGTGGCAGGAAATCCCTAATATCTGCAAAGAGATGCCTGAAAGGGATGAAATGGAAAAGGGCATAAATCTTTCTAAGGAGTCCAAAGCCGAGGAGACTGTAACTGGTTTCAGTGAGGCGGCATCTGGAGGTGATGCAGCAAGTGTGCAGGAGGCAGCAAGGGTGAAGGATGCAGTGAGTGTGCAAGAGGCAGTGAGTGTGCAGGATGCAGTGAGTGTGAAGGATGCAGTGAGTGTG